TTTTTGGTGAGGCTTTACAGGACAGAGTGCTTCTCCACGGGACATGTTAACTCACAGGCAGCTGGCTCATCAAGGAACCACAGCAGCTTTTCATGTACAGGTAACACACGTGCAGCCGGTAAGGGTTCAGGCTCTTCTTCCTGGAGGATACGCTGCAAGCCTGTTGAACGAGGTGACCTTGCTCGTGTCCAAGGTGTACGGTTCCTAAAATGGCTGCCATATACACGTCCACTGATAGGAGACGCGGAAGGTATTAAACTGATCAAAACAATACTAAACACACCACAAATAAGGTTTCTCTCCTGTATGGCTCCTCAAATGATGCTTAAGATTAGAAGCGGCTGAAAAGCATTTCTCACACTCGAACAAAAATATATTTTTTTAACATTCTCTCCACTTTGAACGAAATGACGTTTGGGAAGAGATTAACATAATTAAACACAGGCAGTAAAAATACAGTTTTTAGCCATACCCTGTAACTTTAAAACTACACATCCCATCTTCTTAATTACATATTTGGAATCAGCACACTTAAAACATAAACATAACCAAAAATCAGCCAAATCCATCCAGGGGTTAAAAGTTAGCTGGAGGTCCCTTTATGACCGACCGCAAGCACATTTTCCTGCCCAAAACAGTTCCATAGATTTGGGCTGTGAGGTCGGTCTATTTCAGGCTGAAAAAGCGACTAAGTCCCATCGCGAATGGGACTTAGTCTCTGCAGCTGAAATAAGGCTGAAAAAAACGGCTGAAAAAAAGACTAAGTCCCATCGCCGAATGGGACTTAGTCTCTGCAGCTGAAATAAGGCTGAAAAAAACGGCTGAAAAAAAGACTAAGTCCCATCGCCGAATGGGACTTGGTCTCTGCAGCTGAAATAAGGCTGAAAAAAACGGCTGAAAAAAAGACTAAGTCCCATCGCCGAATGGGACTTGGTCTCTGCAGCTGAAATAAGGCTGAAAAAAACGGCTGAAAAAAAGACTAAGTCCCATCGCCGAATGGGACTTAGTCTCTGCAGCTGAAATAATTTCCCATTTACTGAACCAAGTGGGAAATAGCAAGGCAGGCACAAAGGGTTTGCACCAGGTCTGGGGACACAGGGGACACCGTCTTAAAGGTGCAGTGTCCCAATCTTCCTGATGTCCCAAAAAAGGTGTTTAAAGGGCCAGCACCAGTCACGGTGTCAATATGTCATATGTCAGGTGTCAATCCATATTGATTGTGATTTAGGAATGTTAGGTGATTTCTGCCCTTTATGGATTAAAACCAGACTCTGTATCAACTGTGTAATTTTCCATGGGAGTTTTTCCATGGATCCCCCTCCGGCATGCCACAGTCCAGGTGTTAGTCCCCTTGAAACAACTTTTCCATCCCTATTGTGGCCAGAAAGAGTCCCTGTGTGGTTTAAAATTCGCCTCCCCATTGAAGTCAATGGCGTTTCGGGCGGTTCGCCGGTTCGCGAACATTTGCGGAAGTTCGCGTTCGCCGTTCTACTTATCAGCAATACTTAATTAATTACATTAATTAGAAAGAGAGTCTAATACTTAATTGTCAAAAACAAACAAGCTTTGAAAGAAAGACTTATTAATTTGTTGATACAGGAAAAAGAAATGTATATATTATTTTTATATGGATACTGACATAACATCCAAGTGTATATAGGACATAAAATACACATATACACAACATAAATACAATATAAAGATAAGACCAGAGTATATGATTACAGAAATTTCCATTATCGATTAGAAATCCTTGATCAAAATCAGAGAGTATTAATATTATTTACACCTAACACATAAAGCACATCAAGTTCAAAGAGTTTTCATATATAGAAGAAAGTGTGTATAAAAAGATGCCCTTAAGTAAGTTATTTCCATTATCGATTAGAGATGCTTGATCAAGATCACAGAGTATTGCTATTAAGAATCCTTAACACATCAAATTCACAGAATTGTTATATATAGAAGAAAGTGTATATAGAAAAATAACCTTAAATAGGCTATAACGACTCATTTGGAGTTGAAGTGTATATAATATCTGCATAATTTAAAACATTTAAAGAGACAAAAATTTGACTATAATCACTGTAGATGATCGAGAAGTGCAAAGTGTATAGGTGTTAAACTGTGTTTAAATTAGATAAGTGGTTATATATAATAGAAAATTGTTTCATACTTACCGTAATTTTCTTTTCCTGATAATTATTCATGGCAGCATTTACTCATGGGTTAGCTCCTCCCCTTACAGCAGAAAGGACAGGAAATAGAACTTTGAAAATGGTATTAATAGATCCTCCCCCTTCCCATCAGGCAGTCTTTGTAACTAGCTTCACAACTCCTATAATATATTGGTGGGAACGTAATGCTGCCATGAATAATGATCAGGAAAAGAAAATTAGGTAAGTATGAAACAATTTTCCATTTTCCTGATCATTATTCATGGCAGCATTTACTCATGGGAAATACCCAAGCAGTATATATAGAGGGAGGGACAGCGTTCAAAAACAGCTTATAGCTATAAAACCCATTATTGAACTGTATAAATCTTAGATTTTACAAAGCAAAACAAGAATGAATAGGAAATTGTCATAACATCTGCTCAGACAAGATAATTTTCCCTAGAGACTGCAAGGTCAGCAACCTCCTGGCATTCAATATCTGAAATATCCTGAATAAATATAGAGTCATGTAGGAATTAAAGCCATGATAGCATATGATCAGAGATCATACTGGAACAAGCAGATAATGTTGGATGAGAACGGACACACCATGCTATTAAACAAGGGGAGAATTACATTGAGAATCCTACTACTGGATGTATTTATTAAATACGATTCACACTACTTCCTCTTGCCTAGTGAACTACTTACCTGAAGATACAGGAACAAATCAATATCTGCCTGTCAGAAAGAGGCAGAGCCTAGTAGAGAAATAAGAGTCTGTTATTAAAACACTGCAACAAAGACCCGATGTTGCAAAATTCAGATTCGCAACAATACCTCACACAGTACACGAATTGATAAAGCAATGATCAGTCACAGGAGAGGAATAAACTAATAACATTACTAGGCAAAGGCAAGAAGAATCATATACAGATTAGTTGAGGAAAAAAATATCAATATGAACCATAGAATTTGTGGCAACTACTAAATTATAAGGAGGCCAACCACGTCAGTACCTACATTCAAAGATAAACATATTGTAAATAGTACAGATTATGCCAAACAGTATAATAAAATTTATTAGAGACTGTTGTGCAACATAAGTAAGAGATATAAATAATAGGCAAGATACTGATGGGACGGTGGTAACCAGAGGCACATTATCCATTGTGGCAACAGACACATAATGGGCAGGATAGTAGAAGATATTGAGTTATCCTTATGAGAACAACAATCGCATACTTATTCTTACCTTATCTTCAGATAGTGATGAAGTACTTACGGCAGAGCCTATGGTGATAATAAGCAGCTCGATATAGCTGCAAGATATCAACACCAATCCAAGCATATAATCCACAAGTATTAAATCAATTCAATGTTAGGAGTGACCATAACCTTATACAGATCTAGTTACAGAGACCATGTAAAACATATGAGTCAGATGTTTGTCATCAACAAGCTGCATTACATTACATTATGCAGGATGAATCAACCATTTAAAGCCAGACATTGGTTGCTATTTCCAGATATAAGGACACCTAGAAGAATCCCCATGAATATCAGATGAGAGGTCCATAATGGAAGTACCTGTTTAGGGATTTCCTCTATTGTTCAGGCAGCAGGTGAATTTTACCTGAAATAGTAGACCTGGTAGAATGGTCTGGGGACTGGAAAGACCTTAACCCCTTAAGGACTGGACTGTTTTTGCGATGTTGTACATTTGCGACCAGGCCTCTTTTTACACTTTTATGGTGTTTGTGATTAGGTGTAATTTTCCGCTCTCTCATTTACAGTTCCTATACAAATTATATATTGTTTTTTTCAGGACAAAAAAGGCTTTCATTACATACCGTTATTTATATAATCTCATGTAATTTAATTTAAAACAATATAAAAAAAATATGCAGAAAAATTGAAAAACAAGTTTTTTTTTTACTTTTACTTGAAAAATCTTTTACTAATCTACAAAAGCAAATAATTTTTTTTTTCAAATGTATCAATAGTGACATTGTAACACTATTATCTGTCATAAATCTCTGAATAACACCCCACATGTACAGAACAAACAATATTAACAGCTTTTAAATCAGGTAATGGCTTCAGTGTTACCTACTTATGAGATCAATTAATAGCCCAATTTGTGCTCCTACAACTAGTCTGATTTACTAAGCTGTGCATCAGTAATCAGCCTATATCTGAAGGTAAAACACTGTCACCAATTGAAAAAAAACATTCCCTATCTTGAACAGAGAGGAGAGGATGCCTGGCAATAGAACAACTTTTTACAGAATGGTCTCATGTATAAATACATAGGAGTGCACACACACAAAAAAACAAACAAAAAAACATTGATTCTGTTAAACATTACAATGCTTCATTTTGGAAAAACAGGTCTCATTCTCTCCTGGGAGAGGCACTCAGACAGGTTCAGTAACACCTGCAATCTATTTGAAGTGGTAAAATGTGTTAATTGCTTATCCTGAAACACCTGTGGGAGAGGGAATCTAATACAAAGCCAAAAGCAGTAGGTTTCTTTAAGGAAACCATGTATATTTAAACCTAATTCGGTAGTTTCCGAACCGCCAGAGCATCAGTGATTATAGCTCTCCGTTCGGTAGATAAAGTAGACAAACCGTACAGTAATCCCAATAGCTTCATAAGCTAATTCCCTTAGTGAAGCACACGAATCCCCAAACATCAGCGGAAGTCAAGAAGAAGGGTACAACTGAACTGACTTTTAATGATTGCCCACAGGCTTTTATGCAAGTCCCCATGCAAGGGGACATCCCCAGGGAGGGACAAAGATTAACCAATCGGGCACAGTAAAAACATAACACACACCCACAATTCCCTCCCCTAGCCCTGGAGATAATCAAGTCTGATAAAGTAATAACTTGATTATCTCCAGGCAGAAAAATCAAATTTTTCCCCAATATCTGGAACACCCCTTTATACTTGAGGTATCCCCACAAATATGTCCCCTGATATACCGAATCTGGGTGACCAACATATTCAAATTTCACCCAGATCGGTTCAGGGGTTCTCAAAAACTGTGGAAGTCTTCTGTGACCAGCTCACTGTGGGCTGGCTGCCCAAAACAGTTCCATGAGTTCGGTGGGTTTTGCGGTCACTTTAGTAAAAGGGAAAAAGCGAATAAAGTACTGAATGGATCCCCCTGGCTCTCAGCAGCGATTGTTCCCCTCTGTCGAACGCACCAAAGTACCGTATAGCGCTCTTCTAGCTATTCGGTAATTAGAGTTCCAGCGTTCGTCTGTTTGAGACCGGTGTTTGGGAAGTCGAGTGTCCGATTTTAGTTCCAGACACTCGACGACCAAGTCCCGCTGCCTTTGTTCGGCTGAAAAAAGATGGCCGCGGTTTTCTCAGCCACGTGGCGTTTGGTAGTACGAACGCTGGCCTCACAGATAGAGGGGTTGATTGACGATTCCTTTGAAGCTTAATGAGTCAGGGGGTGGTCTTTGTTTGGTAGTTCAGTCTACTGAATGAATAGGTAAAATGAGGTTGAAAATAGTGAATAAATAGGGATTTCTTCACAGTTTCCTTATCTACTTCATTTAAAAAACTGAAATAGAAAATCCACAGTAGGCAATAATTCAAGGATTTTAGTATTATGACGGAAAGTCATGATTTTATTAAAGACACGGAGGCGAGTATTATGCTGCACTCTTTCTTTAATTCCCTCAGCAGCAAAGAAACATAATTTGAAAAAAGAAAATTTTTAACAGGTATAAACATCACAATGACAATGTCCGCCTAGCAACATGACCATCCAATCAGTGACATCCTTCTCCCATAGCAGGCGGAGCATCGATGACCATTTCCTCTTTCTTGCGAATCCCGAAGAATAATTAAACTCTGAACAAAAAAAAACGGATCAACAAACGAACCGGAACTATGTCTTTGCTTCAGAGACTATCAACCAAGTCATGCTAAAAAAAAAGAAGAAATATGGTAATGTCTTGAAATCATGGGTTTCCATCATATAAAGAGTACTGATTGTCTTATTAAACATTGATAAGAATTCATAAGTGTAGTATGAGGAATCTACCAATCTGGAGATAATAGTGACAAATAAAGTTAATTATTAAATAATGTCCTAAGCAATGTATGTATGCCCTAAAGCAATGTAGGTATGTGATGGCATCAATACCGTCAGATTGAACTTACCATAGAGAGGCTTGTAACTTACCTTAACCCACATCCAAGCCATCCAAGGGCGGGTGGGTGGGATAATACTCGCCTCCGTGTCTTTAATAAAATCATGACTTTCCGTCATGATAATAGTAAAATCCTTGAATTTTATTAAAGACCTGGAGGCTCCTATTATGCTATTTCAAAGCTGTGATATCACGGCTTCTGCGAAATGCTGGATTGGTTTGAAATAGAAGTTATGGAAAGTAGATTCCGTGGACCAATCAGCTGCTTTCAAAATATCCTCCAAACAACAACCAACGAAGGAAGCTTTGGATGCCATGGCACCGCGAACTGAATGAGGAGAAAATATGAATTTATCAATGCCGCCAAGGACATGAGCCACTTGACCCAGCGGGCCAGGGTCAGCGAGGATACCGGAGCATGCGGTTTGAGAAAGGAGATAAAGAGCTGGGGGTCCGAGCCAGTCCGGAGGGGTGCGGTACGAGCTTCATACACTCTGAGACACTCTACTGGGCAGAGGAGCGGCTTTGTGGGGAAAGCTGGATATGTGACCAACAGGGAGAAGGATTTTGTCCCCCGCGAGATGTCAAAGACGACTCCGTCCGGGGAGAAGGAGCAGGCATTGACATCGAGTGCTCTAACGTCTGATACTCTTTTACATGAGATTAGGCACAACAACATGACCAGTTTAGCCGAGAGTTGCTTCGGGGATAAAACCTCGTTGTCTGGCCACATAGTCAGGAAATTCAATACCAGAAAGACGTCCCTTAGGGATGAATAAAAAGGTAAAGGTGGCCTTGGGAAGTGGATGCTGCGGAGGAGGCGACAGACAAGTGGGTGTCGTCCCACCGTGGTACCGTCAATGCCGGTGTGACCGGCTGCAATCGCTGAGCGGTAGAGGTTTACCGTCCAATAAGCTTTCCCATTCTCCTAGAGGGAGGTTAACAATTGGAGGACAGTCGTCACAGGAGTTGATAGGGGATCCACACCCCTTGCCACGCACCAATCATCCCATGTGCGCCAAGCAGACTTGTAAGACTGTCTCGTGCCGGGTGCCCATGCGCCATCGAGAAGTCGGAGAGTCGATTGCAAAAGTCCCTCGATAGCCCAGTGTCCCCGGAAATTAGCCATGCCGTGAGGTGGAGAAGACCCTGGAGGATCAGGGGGTGGGGGATCCCGTTGGGGTCCCGCAGGAGGGAGTGGGAGTCCGGGAGGAGTTGTGACGGCCAGAGGGGTGTTCTTGTAACTGCGGCTGGTCCCTTATTTACCACTATAATGTCTTAAAGCATAGAACTTAGTAGGGCTAACCAGATATCTTAGCCATAATTTTATATAGTTAGTGTAAGAGAGCCTCTATTTAACATATATAAATAATTGAGAATACAATATAAAATAAGGATTGTCTTGGAAGCAAGAGTTTTGTCTTTTAGATATTTATTATATAAAAATATAAATATAGACATATAAAATCCATTATAGCAGAGTTAATAAGATTAAACTAAATGCTTGCAAATATCATTAATAGGTTAACATACCCTTCTGAACATGTCACCATGTCAGCCTCTCTGTCATTTTAAGATGGAGCAGCATCTGTCTCCAAGTCTCTCCTCTGTGTCATAACATTTAAAAGTACACCTATTTATACCTTAGGTGTCTCCATTTTAGGGTTACCGTAGTTCATATATGAAAAAGTAACTTTTTTACTTTATTCATTTTAGGACCTCCCTTAATTTGGCAAACATACAGAGCCATAACTAAAGGGTGCATATGTCATGGAAATTTTCCTGACTTAGTTCAAGATGGCATCTTAAAGTCTGAACACCCTTATCTACTAAGGTTACCACAGTTTATTGTGTTCTGAAAGAGTCATAGGATAGCCTTGAAGCTTGTTTATGCATTATTGTTATTGTAATTCGTCTGGGACAAAATGGTGCAAACATATTATTATTGCTTAAGAAACAGTTATGAAAAACAATATGTTCCATTTCTAACACCTTGTCAGTTTACAATATATCTTAAAGACAAAGTACACAGTTTAAGAAATACAACATTTCATTCTAAAACTTGTAATATTTTCATTTGGCCATAACATTATTATCACTAGGCAGCCCAAGTGGCGTCGCAGGTGAAGCAGGCAATGCAGGATGAGAGCGAATTAAGGGAATGCATAGTTCCTGGTGGTGGACCAGTCTTGGGAGAATGCATTCGTAGCTAGAGCTTTCGGGTCTGGCCTCAAACTAAAAAAGTTCAGTAGTTGTGTATTCAAGCGAGAGGCAAACAAGTCTATTGCTAGAGGACCCCATAGGTCCCAGATGTACTGGAAGGTATGGGGATCGAGGTGCCAGTCGCTGGAATCCCTCAGATGGTGGGAATACCAATCCGCTGTAGTGTTGGACAACTCTGGTATATATTCTGCTCTGACAGCAATGTTGTGTTGAAGGCAAAATTGCCAGAAGTCTCGAGCCATATTCGCTAGGACTTTGGACCTCGTGCCTCCCAGATGGTTTATATAACGGACAGCCGAGATGTTGTCCATTTTCAACAAAATTGAGCACTGGGGTAAGGTCGGGGATAGGCTGTGAATCGCAAAGGACCCCGCCAGGAGTTCTAAGCAATTTAAATGCAAGGTGGATTCCAATCATCGCCCGCCTGTGGAGACATCTCCGCAACGAGCTCCCCAGCCGTAAGAGCTCGCGCCTGACTCTATGACTACATCTGGAGCCGAACCGAAAATGGCTTTGCCATTCCACGCCTCCATGTGTAGGAGCCACCAGTGGAGTTCTTCCTTTGCTTCTGCATCTAGTGTCAGAGAATCCTCGTATGAGGCCTCGCTCCTGAGATATGACGCTTGTAGGCGTTGGAGGGCTCTGTAGTAAAGGGGGCCTGGAAATATGGCCTGTATGGAGGCAGCAAGGAGCCCGATGACACGGGCCAGGTGCGTGAGAGATAATTGATGGAACCAGAACACGCCTTATCTCTTTTTTGATATTCCTCATTTTGGGTATTCCTCATAGGGTTTGCATTACTGAATCCACTAGTAGGCCTAGAAACTCTATTTGCTGAGTGGGAACTAGTAAGGATTTTTCCCAGTTGATAATGAAGCCCAGGTTCTGTAGTAAGGTTGTGGTCCAACCGAGGTGAATGTGAAGAAGGGGCACCGATTGGGATAGCAGTAGGATGTCGTCTAAGTAAATGATTAGACGAACCCCCCGACTGCGCAGAAGCGCGATACCTGGCTTCATGAGCTTGGTGAAGAACCAAGGCGCGGAGACTGAAAGGAAGGCAATGGAACCACCATTTCCTGCCTTGCCATGTGAATTGCAGGAAATCCTGATAGGCCTCCGCAATGGGTACTGTGAGATAAGCATCTCTTAGCTCGAGTTTCACCATCCAGTCTGATGGTTGGAGCAAATCTTGTAGGCAATGAATGCCTTCCATTTTGAAATGGTGGTAGCTTACATGGGAATTTAGGTGCTTGAGATTAATGACTGGGTGGGTTCCGCCACCTTTCTTGGGAACAATAAACAGGTTGCTCACAAAAGCCGGGGTATGCATCGGGATTTCTAGGATAGCCCCTTTGAGTGCCAATTCTTGGATTTCCTCGGAGACAAGGATAGTGTCTGACCGAAAAAAACAAAACAAACAAAACCCAATCTCCCTGGGTGGGGATTGCTGGATGGGTAGGGACACAAAGATATCCGTGGACTGCCCTGAGTATCCAGGCATCTGATGTAATGAGGGCCCAGACATGGGAAAAACTTGTGAGTATGCCCCCTATTGCTATAGATGAAGA